GTGTCTTTCACGCATCGAAATGAAAGAAAAAACATAACACACACAAGCGTGCGCGCGCGCGCGGATACACCATACACGCACACGCATACACATATATATACACGTACAGACATTTTGATGTATAATGTTATATCGAACGGGAATTGAATGTTTTTTGTACGAGGCCGGCTTTTATTAAAGCGTTGGCCAGAAAATAATTCCACGAAGACACGAGGTTAATATAATTAATATTTAAGTAGCTTACTATAATTAAACGACGATTACGATTACATAAAGAACAAAAGAAAAAAACAAGTAAACAATTAGTGTGTGGAAACTGTTTATACCTTATTAGAAACAACGCATACGTTTACATCCGTGGTTACATTATTATTATTATTAATTATTATGGATTATTATGAATAAATAGTAAATAAATAAAGATTAGTGATGACGAAAGGAAAGAAGTGAAAAAAAGAAGTAATAAGAAAGATACTTGAACAAGACCATAAACGTTGCAAGCACAGTAGGTAGGCACACATCCAGTACAGTAAGATTATAATAAGGAGAATATTAATAATAATTATAATATGACTGCTCGTTTTATGCTCGGCGCTATACATTTCATTGTCATTATTATATCACCATTTATTAACGATATACATACGAATAAATAAAATGTGTTTATAAATATAATGTGATCTTTACGAAATTTTCATCGATCTTTATTAATTGACCCGATACGATGAATATTTTTTACAAATAGCAACAAAAGAAAAAAAAATTCTGTTTTATTTCATATTGTTTGTATTTGCGATTACATCTTATTGTGCATTTAGAAAATAGCACATACACACTGCATGCAAATTAGGTTAGGTGATACGACTAATTTAGTTTTATTAAGAAAATTTTATTTCTTTAATTGCGGCAAAGAATGTGTTAGAATTGTTCGAATATTTTCATTTTTAATTATGTTATAACTATAAAAAGTGCTCCTTTTTAATTATGTTATAACTATAAAAAAAATGTGTACATACGTCGTGTATAAGTTGTACGATCAGTAATTTTTTTCATACATTTGATATAAGTTTTATATTGATATATAAATGAAATATTGAAAAATAAGTAGAAATGAGTAGGACAATATGTGCATTATATATTATAAATATTGAATAAGAATAAAGTGTCGATGTCGAGTTAGAGATTTAATAATACATAATAAAAAAAATATAAAATGATCAATAGTTTGTTTAATGTTGGTTTATTTTAAAGTGCCATAAAATAAAGTGAAAAATGAAGTGTTTGAATAGAATAAAAGCATGATTGAATCAACTATTGTTTATTATCTAAAATTTAAAGATTTACATAATAACGAACGATTGAAACGATCGTTTATAAGATAATACTTCTAATTTGGCGTAATGTGTCTGTAGCTGTATTCTTTTAATATTTGTATCGAAATATATATTTAAATTATAATCAATCATAATATTTATTTTTATAATATTAGTTTGAGAATATTAGTTTTTATTATGATTGCTTTTAAAAGAATACAGCTAAGTAATACTTTTTATTATTAATTATTAATTATAGCTTTATTTTTCGATTTTCTATTCGGCACAGGATATGTATAATATTGCTATAATTTAATGCTACTTTAATTAATTTACTTACAACTATTAATATTACTTCGACAGACGGCTTTTTACTTTTGGAATTTTTTGGATTTAACTATGATTAAACATTAATTTTTATTTTCTACATAATTAACTTTTACTAAAACTTTTTCTCCAATTAATTTTTTTTAATAATGTTTAATCTGCATCGATTAAAAATTAATCGATTCTAAAGTAGTAATAATCAATTATAAAACTAAAATAAATTTTCATTTTTGCTCTTTCTTTAGTGATATTTTTAATATTTTTCTTCCATTTAACTTGCTAAATTACTATCCAAAAGTTTGATTTTTAGATATGTAAAAATATATATAAGCAACTAATATTGTTATATATATATGGTCCCTAGTGGTCCAAAAATATTATGTTTTCAGAACTCTGTCATTAAAATATAATTGTATTCTAATAATTTTTTTCTAATTTATTTTCTATAAGAGAGTAATATTAAACAAATGAACATTTATAAAATTGAAAATAAATATATACATCAATGAATTCTACGAAATGAAAGAATGTTTAGCAGAAACTATATAGCTTCGAGAATCTATAATAATATTGCACATTTATTTTTATATTTTTTTATATATATGTATATATAATTATTTTTTTAAAATTTAAATGTTTTAATCTAAATATCATGATGAATTCGATTTTAAATCGAAAATATCATGTTCGAGGTAGTATAATTACGATTTTAACTTCGATTTAATTTTTTTATATTTATTAATATTTTTTAACATTATTTTTAAGATTTTTAAATTCCTTAACTTTAAAAAATACAAAATAAGTATAGTTTTTAATTAAATTTAAAAAATATAAATTTTTTCAATTCATTTAATAGATTATATAGCAAAATATAGCAATACGCGTCTACTTTCATAATTATTATTTTACATATTACTTTTTTTGTATAACAGCATTTTATATATGAACTCAAATCACAAAAAACATCAATAAATTTTAAATTTTCAATTTAAAAAAATATAAAAAATGCAATTGCAACATATTAACGTTTAAATGACATAATATATGCTTTTTCAATTTATTTCAATTTCTAATTATGTAGAATTTTATTTGGATAACCATTTATTTATCACTCTTAATCGAGTGGAATAATGAAAGACGATGCGAACAATAAAATGCAAAGAATCATAACAGCCTCAAAAGGCTGTGCTAGTCATAGATGACTGCACGCCGGACTTCGAATTCGGTTGTCCGGCGTGTGATTATAGCTACGTAGACGCAGCGAGACTTATTGATGTTGATTCAGTGACAGCTGATCGTGGTTTTACATCTAACGAATCGTAAAGTGGAAATTCGCAACAAAAGAGAAATTTTAGAAAATGAGGCACTTCAACATATATAGATGGTGGTATTGGTATTAATGGCGATGTAGATAGTTTGTAATAGCGATATTCGGCATTACTGAAATATATTAAAATATTTTAATATATAAATTTTCTTTGTTAATAAAAATAAATAAGTAATATATATAATAATGTATATATAATGACATATATGGGCTAAAAATGTATAAATTTGATTGTTTTGATTTGAAAATTAGAAAAATTGATAAATTGATATTGCAAATCGGAAACTTACTCACGATATCTCTCATCGGAAGCTCTTTCTAATAGAGGCATTCCAGATAAGAATAGAATGATGAAAGTAGTGAATATTGGAGAAGCTATAGCAATCCATTCAATGCCTTCGATTACATTCAAAGATATTACAAAGATACCCCACCATACTACTATTTCTCCAAAATAATTTGGATGTCTGGATAATCTCCATAATCCTAAATCATAATTATGAATTATTTATTATTAACTGATTAATTGAATATTTGGAAAAGATTGATATATAAAACGTACCATCATTACACCATTTGCCATTATTCACTGGATCTTGTTTGAAAGAAAATTTCTGCAAATCGGCATAAGTTTCAGCTAATAAACCAGTTACGAAAAGTCCCGTACCAGTACTGTCTAGTGTTGTCATCGTTTTAGGAGCTGGTGGTATTTTGTGTCGCGGTGAATTAATGATAATTACTGGTAAACTCACAACATAGACCCATACAGCCTAAATTTTTGTTTTTAAAATATACAAATATTTAAAATATAAATGAAAATTAATATAAAACTAATTAGAAACTAAAATTACGATAAATTAAATATAATTTCGATAAATAATTGATTTTGATTATTATTATTATTACCTGAAATGTCCAAAATACAGCAAAACGAATCACATTACTGCGACGATCTTCAAATCTTTTATCGCGACCAATTTTAATAATCCGATATAATAGATATCCAGAAAGACGAACACCCCACAAGCAAACGAATATAGTGACCATAAGTTGTCTACTATCATAAGGCTATAACATAAAATATTTACAATTATAAATTATAATATTGTTTATATAATATTAATAATATTTAATGTTTATTTTAATACTTACGATTACGATAATATTTACAATGAATTTGATATAAAAATATTAATGATTTCTTTTAAAAATGAAATTAAATATTCAAATTATTTTTTAATAACGCTATTGTTAGAAATTATATGCTTTTTCAAAAATAAATTAACAATGAATCAAATATTTCTATGTTTCTTGTTCTGTGTTCATTTGCATAGACATATATATTAACAATTTTATAATTAGAATACCTTGCCTACTTGGCCGAGAAAGAAAGTGAGAAGGGCGAGGATGATAAAGTTCGTGCCGCCGGCAAAATCTGTTAGCTTGTCCAGCTGGAAGGTCGCCGCAATTGTGAAGAATATAATTTGCATACCGACAGTGACGATCGCGCTCACCGCGAAGTGGTCTTCATCCAAAATATCGACCGCCATTGATCGATTGTTGATTTCCCACCTCCACACTTGATGAACTATTTTCGAATCTGAAGTCATTAATAAAACTGTTATATAGCTTTAGAAATATAATTTTCAGAAAAAAATATTTATAGAAAATAAAAAAATATATAAGTTATTTAATAATAATTTTATAATTAAGAAATCAAAATATTATTTAAAATTTTTTATATTTTTATTTTAATTTTTTTTATCGATATTTTTTTAAATAAAAATGTTTTGATTTTTATTTATACAATTTTATAAAATGTAATTTTTGTTTATATTTTAAAATGTTTTAATAATTTACATTATTTTAATTTAAATATAATATATAATTATGTTACAAATATATAATATATATAATATATTATGTATGTTATAATGTTATAAAAAAATATAATTGAAGTAACTTGTTATAACTAGTGATATTTGCAAAAGTTTAAACAGACTTGAAAGGATTGTATATTGAAATATATAAATCAAATACTTGATATTTTTATGATTCTGCTTTAGTTCTTGTATATGTGACCTTGATGCTTAGATGTTTTTCATTTATTGATTATATTGGTTCATGCATATTGTAGTTCCATTGTTTAATAACAGTATATATTTTAAAAATGTAATATTTTAAAAAGATAGAAAGCAATAATAATTTTATTTTACAATTTAAATTGTTTCATTTGTGATCAATAAAATAAAATTTATATTTATATTAAAATAATCAAAAATTTATATTAATATTTCATATTTCGAAATAAAAAATTTAAAAATTAAAATTTACTTCAATTTGAAAAAATTGAATGTTTTCTTTTAGGAAAATATTTCATAGTTTCTTTTATTATATATCGTTTGATTTCTGCGAATAGATTATGATCACTTTTAAGTATCTCCGCACCATTGAACGTCGCAATGCAGTTCATTTTATTCAATATTCTCACAAAAAATATTTTATAAAATATAAATTTTTTTATGACAAATTTTTATAGCATTTAAATTATCTTTCTTATTTGATATCATCATTGAAAATATTTTCAGTCATAAAATAATAGAAAAACGAATATATTATTATGTTTGTACTTACCGTTTTTTAATTCGAAACTTTTGCATCGTATAGTCACAATTCAATCTTTAATCAATCATAAAACAAAAGCCAACATATTTTTGTTAAAAAAAATTCAATATCAATTATTTATTCAAAACAATACGTGCAAATACGAAAAATTCACATTTATTACCAATTTCTAACTATCATCAAAAATTTCTCAAATCATTTTTCAACGTGAGCCATTTCAACCATTTTTCAATGGTAAAGAATAATTTCTTTGATATTATCAATTAAAAATAATGTTAGCACCATTCACAAACTTAATCATCACAGCATTGTCAAAAATCGAAACTGATATCATTAATCATCGTTCAACTAACCATCTTTGAATTCTGCATTGAATACTAAGAGAGATACAAATCACATCAAGTCACTGTCACTCGAAAACGAAAATTTTTGCGAATTCGAAATATCCTTATTTCATAGAGACATTGAATTTCTAGATAAGAGAAAATATTATTTGTGTAAAATATGTATATATCAGTTAAGGAGAAATGACGATTACCTCAACAGAGAGGAACCTCATTGTAATAACTTGTAAGATGTGTAGAATAGACCTGCTTCCACCCGCGGCGATAGGCAGCGGCAGGACTACGAGAGTATTCAATGTCGAATCTAAAACAAGAAATCCCTGATCACGTGCTATGAAACGACTGCGAGCGCATCGGGCGTTTTACTTCTAGCTCGAACCTTATTACCACTATATGCGTCTCCTTCTAATCAGTACTCTATGGTGTGACCTATTGGGTTTTTTGGTTCATGTTGACTGCCTGACATTACGGCTTATTATAATTATTTCCATAATTAGAATCTTATCATTCTATGCAATTGATATTATTATTGAAGAATTTGATTTAAATAAATAAAAAAATAATTTTGATGGAATGCGTTGTAATATCCATAACGAAATTGAAAATTTAAAAATATGGTTAGATTTTATTATTTGAAATGATTATAGAAAAGATATTGAAGATAAAAAATAATTTTTATTTTATTATTAAATTTTATGCTTACATGTATTATATTTGTGAAAATAATTTATTTTTTAATGAACTATATATAGGTAACGTTTTCATGAAACGTATTTTTTTTATTTATTTTTTTGGATAAAATATGTGATTACTTTCTTGTTTCTTTGATAATTATTTTATCGTGATTGCTTTTTTCGTCAAAGCTTTGTAATGTAAGCCTATTTAACGTAGAATCAATACATACGCGAGCGCGAATGAATTTCCAGTTAAGTGGAACATGGCGCATTACACTTTTCATTTATATTGTATTATTAAAGACAATGCACATCTTTTATCAAATATCGTTCAAAACGACAAAATTCATTTTATATCGAATTTGATTTTTTTAAAATTTATATAAAAATGAATGAATATAAAAAAAATCAATTTGTTGATTTTTAATCGGATTAAGAATAATTATTTTAATATATTGTACATTATATTATTATAGTAACTTTACAAACAATAACTAATATGTCTTATTTCTACCACGCATAATGCGCATATATGATTAATTCCGAGGTATCTTCTTATAAACATTATAAAATTCAGCTTAATGAAAATAAATGATTACAATAATATTTATGATTACTCCTTAAATTTTGGTCTTGTTTTTTTGATAAAAAAGTACAGAGATCCATAGTGTGGAAATGTAATTATAATATACATGCAGTGCTCTGATTCTCATAAATTAATCACAAACAATGTTAAAAATATATTCTTTTGAATAATTTTATTGATTTTCCATTTGGAAAATATCTTTAACTAAGGTTTCCTTTATTCATTCAAATGCACTGCATAGTTTTTTAAATTGCTTCAATTTCTTTTTAAAATATTTATTTTCAATTTTAAGATTTTGTATATTTGCCCCAGATATGAAGCATAAAGACAGATGCAATAAAAAGAAGAGACATAACAAGCACAGGTACTGGTCCTCTGTAAAGAGATATTTAAATTATCAATATTTATATTTTTCCTTAATATTTATACTTTTTTTTTATTTACTTACTATTTTATATATACTTACACTTTGATACCAGGTGAATCATCGGTATAAAACATCCACATTTCATCAGAACCAGCTCCTGTATTTCTACTCCGAGTTGAAGTAGTTGTTGCAGTTTTTCTTTGTCTAACAGTACCACCACCTGTTCTAGGTGCTATAGCTTTGCTGGGCGATCGTCTCGCAGCTCCGACTGAAGTAGAACTAGGTGCAGCAGGCTTAAAAAAATAAACAAAATATAACCATAAATTTTTAAGTCAAAAAATTATTTTCCTTTTTGTAATTGTAATCTTAAGAAATTACTTACCATTATTTGTTATCCTAATGTTAGTTTAAAAATACCAGAAGTTCACGAAAAATTTATTTTATAATTTATAATTTTATTTAAATTCACAATAAATAAAAATCTTGATATGTTTCACTTTTCAAATCTTATTATTAATTTTTATCTTATTATGAACAACATTAAAAAAATACTGAAATAATATTACTTAGTATTTTTGTAAAACCAACCTCTTTCCACTGAATAATTTAAACGTTTACTAGCAATATGAAGCACAGCATAAAGCAACGTGTCATATATACACCATCCACGTAGTGAACTCTAGACACGTCATCATATGCTGTTAAATTCACAGTGACGCATGAGCGTCGATCATTACGTCACGTTTTCATGAAAAAAATATTACCATAAAATATTTCATCGAATTATCATATTATTTTATTTTATAATCTATTTAGTAATAATTACTTTAAAATAATCAAATAATTATATAAATAATTTTTTCAATATTATTAGAAATATTTAAGTTACTAGAAATAAATTAAAATTATATGATCAAAAATTCGAGGAATTAGTATCGAATTCATAATCTTGAAATATGAACTAAGAACATGCTTTTTCGCACATTAATTTATTTATGGAATTATATTATTAATACAAAGCTCATTTATTTAAAAATAATTTTTGAAATAAAAATTTATAAATGCAATCTATTTTCAAGAAAATAAACAAATGCAAATGCATAGCAAAGATTGGCATCGGTAAATATAAAATGTTTTAAGCAATCTTAATGGACATTTCATCAAACAATATATTAAGTCAAAATATTTGTTACATGATATGGTTTACTTAGTAATATTGAATTTGATGAACATAATCTAAATTAAATTTATAAATTTCAAAAGTAATGGTTATTAAAAATTTAAAAGTATGTTAATAAAAATAAGATTTTTAAATTTTATAAAGCTTTAATAATTTGAATAATAATAATGAATTTAAATAACTGTAATTGCACAAAATAGAATTTATGAAATAAAAGAAAAATATAATTTTTATGATAGTATAAGGCATTTATTTATTATTTACATAATGTACGATCATTATTTTGTAGTATTCTATATCAATTATATTTTTGGTAATAATAACATGTAATTTTTACATAAGTTTAAATTGAACTAATGCATATAATTTGTCATACTGAAATTCTATACAAAAGAATAGTAATTCTTGTACTACTTATATGCATATATAATAATTATATGTTCTACAATTTTTCTTTTTTATCTTTTCCATATTAACAGACTAGTTACAAAATTATGACAACATATTACATTATTTCTTATAAAATTGTTCGATTTTTTTATCATGATGAAAATATTAGAATCTTAAAATACAAAAGAAAATCATACATATTGTTACAGGAACTTTTTTTTGTTTCACTTATTGTACATTTATAGCCAATTTATAAAATATAAAACTGTTGTCTTTTCTTATGTATAAAAATTTTAAGAAAATGCATAGAAAGATTCATTATATTAATTAAAGTAAAAAATTTATAAAATAGAAAATATAATACTTCTATTGGTCTCAAAATATACAGTCTCAATGATTTTTGCCAATGACAGAAAATATTCTGTATGCTTATAAATGTAGTAATTGCATGTATTATATTTATAAATGTAAATTAGATATATTTTATATGTATACCTGTTTAAAGATTTTAAATGTTTATTGTATGATTTCAGTCATTGTAAAATGTTTTAAATGCATAAATTCTAAGTATTTCATACACTCTTATGATAACATATTGATATATTAGCAATACAAAATTTTGTAAAAGATATGTTGCATATCTAAGCTACTGTAACTTCATTATGCTTTGGCATTCTGTCATATTTTACAATATAGAAATACTTAAAGAATTAAAATATCATGACTTTTTCATCCATATAATTATTTCTTTTTTTGAAAATCAATCAAGAAATATTTTTTATTTTCTTATTATTTAAATAAACTTTTTTGTATATAAATATATACATGACAATAAGAAATATTCATATGGATTCCACACAGCAACTACTGTTTGGCACAAGACATATTTTTGCAAATTTTGATATACAATAAACATTATACAATGCGATTTTTACGCAGGCACATGTAAATCATTGTTTTTTAAGCATAACTTTATATACTGATATCATTATTAGCTCTCATTTGATATTAGAAAAACATTTTCATACAATTATTTTTTTTTAACAACAATAACATACCATAACAGGATTTTTATACATATATATCTATTGTTTTGTTCTAATGCTCTATTTTTATTGCAATAAGAAATGAATATGCCTGCAAGATATAATTATAACAATCATTGAATGTGTATTGATTAATTTTATCTTATTTTAACTGGAATTATAGACATTTGCCAAAAGTAAGATTTGTAAAATAGAAAATAAAATGTGAAATACATATATTATATATAATTTTCAAATAATAATCAAATATCTTACTACTGATCAATCTAATACAATATTTGGCAGACATATAGCAATAAATTGACTTTATTATTATATTGTATTGTATATTGTGAAATAAATATTCTTCTTAGACCAAATAAATCTCTTACTTGGTATTTAAGTACTTGTTACTCCCTTACGAGCCACTAATAGATTTAATACTGGATGCTTCCTGATATATGATACTGCTTTTTTATGAGTTACCATAGTAAAATCATATCCATTACATTGTAAAATTTTATCATGCATACGAAGACCACTTTTTGCTGCTGGGGATCCTTCGTGAACTTCAGTTACATATATACCCTGGTATTGAATGGCATTAATTAATAATATGAAACATATTTATAACATGTAAATTATATTAATCTTTTTTACATTATCAGTATAACCCTGAGGACTTTTTCTAAAATCTTGATCAATGCCACCTCCAATTTTGAAGCCACATTTCATCACCTCCTCTCCATTTTCATTTACATCTGTTTCTTTTACCAATATAATTGGTATCTAAAAAATAACAAAATAGGATAGAACAAAATAATTTTATTTAATATCGTATTAATATTTTTTATTAATGTTTTAATGTATTTTTCATTGTAAAACTCAAATTAAAAAAATAATTAACATAATTATATATTGTCAACAAAAATAATAAATTAAAGTAGTCATGAAGTTTATTGTTTTAAAAAATAATAATAATAATTGAATTGAGATTTTTTATATTCTTTATCTTTTATATTTTTTATCATAGATTACAGATGTATTTACACTTAAGCATTCCATAGCGGTGCCAGCTTGATGCTGAAAAGCCATTTTCGCGCACATAATGATAAATCTTGTCTAATTAATTCAGATTGACAATTGTTTTCGATGATTCAACGTGATTACCAATCGTTCACGCACTATATACACCGATGTAAAAATTACACGATAACTTAAAAGCGTGTATTTAAAAATATTTAATAATAATAAAAGTATTTAAAAAATATATTATTGAATAATAAAAGAATTCTGATTCACTTCCAATGAATGATCAATTGGTTAATCTTATTAATTTCTACGCACTTCAATGTCGTTAAAATCAGATAAAACAATTTCTTTTTCACGTTGACAGCCATACATATTGGTCAATGTAGATAGGAAAGTACCGTTGCAATAGAATGCACTATAGAAAATATCACAGACAAGTTATAGAATAGATATGATATCGCATGAAATATCAAGTCACATATTCAGAAATACTGATTTTGAAAAAAAGTGTGTTTCTTACGACTTTTACAATTTGTTACATATATCAACATGTACATATTTTATATATGATATATTTCGCTTAATATTTATTATCTTCATTTTTCACTAAAAGCTTTTCATTATTTTTTTTCATGGCGAAAAATATAGAATAAGAATTAATTATTAGCACTATCTTTTAAATATTATACAATTTTTTTTAAAAGCAGGATAAGATAGAGTAAGAATTGAAGATTAACGCCATCTTTTAATTTCTAAGGATAATTTTTTAAAAAGCAATATAGAATAAGAATTGAGAATCAACGTCATCTTTTGAATAAAAATATTTTAAAAATATATTTTCTGGATTTTTCGAGAGATGACGTTGACAATCAATTTTTGATCCATGTTATTTTCTTACTAATTATTCTCTTTATCTATGTTGTGTTCGTTTGCAGTATTCTAAACATGGCGCGACTTTTAGTTAAGGTACAGTAAAAAATCATTTTTTTTCACAATATATTAAAATATATCAATAATTTATTGATTATAAAATTACAAATTTTGATTAAAAAAAGGATTAAAAAGAATAAAGATTAGAAAGGATTAATCACAGGGATATATAATTACATTTGACGCAATAAATGTTTGTTCTTCTTTATTAACAAGCTGAATTTTAGCATATTTTGTGAAAGTTTGACATTTCGATAAGACATTCGATTGTTTTATTATTTTTTTCTTTTTTATCTTATTTTCGCGTTAACTATAACGGACGATAATTAGTTTTATCGAATTCGTCCATGGATAGTTATATGGGGATATGATACATGATTTCTAAGTTTCACCGGTCTCATGTATTATACAAATAATTTGCTCAGTCACGGTAGCTGTGCTACACGATGAGTTTCTATATCACACGCATCACGTATACACGCGTTCATCAGATATATTCGAAAAATCATTACGCTAATTATTTTTTTATCCAAATTTTCTTCTATCTATAATTTTTTTTTTCTTCTTTTTATTATGATAAAAACTACAAATCACTGATTTCGTAATTAAATTTATGCATGATTTAATTCTTGTAAAATTTATCGCGTTCATCTCGTATTTATAGACGAAATACGTATTAATGAACATATAATAAATTATGTCATTTTTTTTATAAGAGAGCATACTTTGCATATTTTATGCATATCGTTTAATTTGTCAATTTTTTAATAGAAATTTTTTACTTTTAACACGAATTTTAATCTGTTAGATAATTTCAATTTTCAATAATAGGATATATCATTAAAAAATATGCATATAAAAAATTTAAAAAAATATTCATAAAGGCTTTAATAAATTCATATATGATGAATATACATATGATAATGTAGATATTATTAAATATATTATGAGTGAAAAAAGAACTTCAAAAATCGAATAATTATAATTTATTTTTTGTAAAAAACTTAAAAAATGAAAATTTGCTCGCATAAAATCTGATGTGACAGTTTATTGATTATTAAATTAAAATATAATGATATAAATATATATATAATTTCGATTAATTTTGATAATTTCGTATACATTAATTTTGTTATTTATTAAAACATTTTTATATTGACATTATTATTATTACAAACGATCCAGTTTGTTTAAAATGTAGAAATATATTTTCAATATAAAAAAATGAACTTTCTGTTCTTTATTTTGCGAAAAAATATACGAAATATGCTCGTTTTTTTAAAAATTTTCATATTATGAATAATTGGAAAAGTACGGTCGCAGACACCATAATAACAATATTTCAATTAATTATTATAATTAAGGCAATAGCCCTAAATTAATAATTTTGTAAATTGTAAACTCTATTTGGCAAAAATCAACGTAAGCGTAGTTAATTAGCCTCAGTCTCATTATTCGAGAACGATACATGAGGATCGGACTTTAATAAATTACTCGTATCTTTATTAATCTATATAACAAATAATTTATTAATAAATTATTATGAAACTTGTCCGATCCAATAATTGACATAATTTTTGTTTTGGAAGCTGAATGTTTCATTTTTCATTTTTCTATTTCTATTTTAAAAATAAACAATTTAAAATATTTTACTTATATTTTATTGAAATTTTAATTAACTTTTATAAAATCTAATCTTTGTTTTTGTTAATTAATAAAAAAATATAATGTAGTTTATTTCGAAATGCAAAAAAAAAAAAAATTAAAATATTAAAATATATATATTAATAGAATATTTTGCGGAATAAAAACAGAGTAATATTTAAAGCTATTTTTTTATATGATGTTAATTAATCATCGAGTTCAATGTATGCCGATAAATTGTTCATCCTTTAAATATAATTCGTACATATATTTACATTTAAATATTCTTTTTCAATTATACTTTTCGATTTTTGATCGAATTTCCGCGTTTTGACGCAAATATAATCCTCGAATTGCATTATCAACATAATTAATCAAACAAAATGTTGAAACGCACGATTGTGGTTTCTTAATGCCGACAATTAGGAATGTTGTTACAATTAGCACTCTGCATAAAGCGGAAGTTATCGTGATATATATAGAGATTCGTTTTTCAAAACATCGTTATATTTTCATTAATTTATACAACAATAATTTTGTAAAAGATATTTGTAATAAAAAAAAAAAAAATAAAAACTATCTATCCTAAACTATAATCATTGGTCACTTTATAGTATAATTATCCTAAATGCATTGAAGTAAAATTGTATTTTATTATTTTTTTTGGTTAACTTTCAACTCTTATAATAATTATCGTTAAAATTATTATTATTTGATTTTCAACGAATTGTTATAACCGTAAAATCAGTTTTTTGATTACAATATAAAATATAGTGATTTTTTTAAAATATCCTTCATTTAAATGCCAATCTTTTTTTAATAACAAAGAAACAATTATATAATAGACATTTAAACGATGTTTCTCAAAGATGATAAACGATTCTCCATACTTTACTTTCGTCGTATCTTTTCAACTATACAATCCATGGTAACAGTGTGACTAATAATACAATCTATACTATACAGTAGTTAGACGATTATACACATGTGTAATTCTTCATTCCGTGTCTAAATTGACTTGTTTCCTAACACTCTGTTGATGGATCTTTTTCTTTCTATTAATCACTGTTGCAGAATCTTCTCAGAAATATTTTATGTCTGTGACTCTTAAGTGAGATTAAATTTCAGAAGATGAGATTCTAACGTAGCTCTAAAAGACTTCTGTCGATACTTTCACGTAACTTGTTCCTGTTGTTTTCGTGTTTGGTCGACCGATAAATTTGCGAATAACGCAATGGCAGTATTCGATGCAACGATAATCAATAAATCAATCGATCAGACGACTTGTCGATAACTTAATAGCGCACTGAGAAAAATGTTTAGATATGAAGAAACGGTAGTTTAGTTTATAATAACATTTTGTTGACAGAAAACCGTGAGGTATATTACGATTTGCTACTATTAATTTTTTTTCAGTAAAATGGACATTGTTTCAAATTTGCTAAACGCTTTTCTCAGTATTCTATATATGAGCAAAGACTCTTTTTACGACAAAAATTCCTAATTAACTTGACTTTGACAAGAGTTTATATTTATTACTAGCAGATGTGTGCCACTTGCAAACATACGATTTTTTAAATTACAATTTTCCATTGACATTCTGCAAAACTTTTGAATATTCAACAATTTGTCGGAGAATTTTTTTATAACTTATCTTTATATGCTTTCATGAAGATTTCTGCTAGAGTTACTAAATCTCGATCATACGTGTATAGTGAACTCTTGCCTTTCTTGTTCCTTCCTTTGTTGATACCTGAAACGAAGTTGAACAAAATTATTAATGTTGCATCAAATTTAACCTCTGCTTCTAAAAGATGATAAATATATTTATTGAAAGATTAATATAATTCATGATACCAAAACAATTTTGCGTAATCAAATTTTTTCTCCCGATTAATAATAAATGAAAAGTTTAATTTGTATGTTTTCATGCTCTTCTTTTAAGCCTTAGAAGACTTCTGTTTAAATAAAATTTTTTATATATAAAATAAAAAATATTAACACAAAATATATTCAAGCAATGAGACGAAATAATTCAGAAATACAATTCTTTTATAAGTAACGTATTGGGATAAGGATCAATCTGACATGAAATGGATTTCTTGATATTTGAATACGTTGAATAAGAACGAAAAAATTCAGAGGCCTTCCCAGGATTAAGAAGAGTACAGAATGAATCTCAACGTGTCAGCTTACTACGGTCTACGGAGGTTCGTGTCGATACCTAGCGAGCATAGATTCCACGGCCTCGATGGGCAGTCTACCCAAGCTGCCGCCGTGGCGGGTCCCGGATGACAGGCCTTGCCAATCGCGATCACGATCACGATCACGTTCCCCACGATCACGATCACGATCACGATCGCATTCTACATCGCTCAATTCGCGGCTGTCACTAAACCCGCTTGGCGGCAATAACGTCATATCTTCCACCGAACTGCACATCAGAAAAGAGAGCTCTTAAGAGATTATTATTTGATGTCGAATGTTGTAAAAATATTTTTATCGTCATTTGATCGATTGAGAGATCAATATCTTTTTCGAATTTTTTTTTTCCACAAATTAATCTGGATTGGAGATTTGATTGAAGTTGAAATATAATATCTCTTATTTCTAGTATTCACGTTTATCCAGATTAATTTGTAAGTATTATTTAAAAAATTAAAATGATGGCATCAATTTAATTAAGAAATATGATAATATGAAAATATACGAGATTAACAAATTTTCAAGTAATAGAAAAATGTAATTAATAACTCGTTATCGTACATTGTATATTAATTATAAGAATTATACGTTTGTAAAAATATATTTTTTAATCGTTTAATATTTGTTTTCATTTACATTTTTCTATTATTTTATCTTGTATCGATACGAAATCGATAAAACCGTGAACATTGAACATAATCAGGACTTGAGTGCTATGTGGAAACAAACAAACCTTGGCTACCTGCGAGTAGACCGGCTCGGTTGTCGGCTTCGTCGTCTCGCAAGTGAAGGTGAGCCTTCGTTGTTCGATTCTGTACTCGACTCCACGCCTCGTGAAAATACATCTGCAAAGATTTCAAAACGTTAAATTCAATCTACAAGAGACTATTATTAATAAATTATACGAATCAATTTCTTGTTACCTCTGCAAGGCTTCACTGGTACCCTATAACTAGGGCCAGCGCACTCTCCGCAAGGGCTTCCGGATGTATCGCTTCCGGAACCTTGGCGACTCGAGCGCAGCTTACTTTCCGCTTCTGCGATGCTTGGGAAGTATCGTTGCTTGTGCCACCTTGGTGTTTTAGACCTGAACGTGAAAGAACACCAGAAAGAGGAAGAGAAAAGGGTTTGGGAGCGGGATATCAAGCTTTCTTGAGCAAGGAAATCGAGCAAGGAATACTTAGTTCGTCTAACATGCGTTTGAAAGGTTGAAAGAAAACAGTTACCTCTCGAAATCCACACTGGATCTCTCGTAATCGATCGTGTTGATGTCTTCGTTCTCTAAATGTCCAAACGTTTTGAATTGCATGGTGTAGTCGAGTGTGGCAGTGGTCACTGAACGATTTTCTCTTCCTGGCACACTGAACGTGGCGTATGGACTTATTTCATACATTTCTGTGAAAAGAAAAAATTATTGCTATTTAATATCATCAATAAAGATACAAAAATACGAATAATCGAAAAATATTGTACAATAATTATGTGAGAAATTATTAAAAAAAAAAAAGAACATGAACCTGAACCATGGTCGTTCGACTTATGATTCTCTTGCTTTACCGGAGAACTGGTATAAACCTGATGATTCCTCCTGTTATCGCGTTCAGCAGTGGATTTTAATTGCATAGTGGACATGCAACTTGAAAGATGATGATGTTGTTGATGTTGCTGCTGTTGCTGGACCAATCCTAATCCCGACTGCTGATTCTGTTGTTGTCCAGGAAGTATTTCTCCTAAATAATTAGCTCTAAAAATATATAAACAATATTATTATTTTATTCAATCATGAAAAATATAAAATGGTAATTCTCAAATAATTGTATGATACCTTCCACTACGTTTTAACATCACGTATCCCAAAATGGCGGCCGAAATAATCAGAACAATAGCACAAATGAGAGGTACGACTACGTAAAGCACTTTATGATTCGGTATAGTTTTCTTAACGTCATCTTCCATAATCAAATCGTTCGGAGGACCGATGCTAACACCACTGAGAGTGGTTGTTGCGAATTCCATTTGCGTTTGCGTGGATCCAGCATCGTTGTGCGCTGTTAAACGTAAACTATACCACGAGGCAGTCTTTAAATCTCTTATGATTAAATTTTCCGTGGCACGACTCGCCACTAAAATCCATGGTTCACTGTTAATACGTCTACGGTATTCTATAGTATAATATTGGATGGAGCAACCACCATTTGGCCAGGACAGAAGATTCAATTTTACGAAAGTACCGTTGGCGGAGATGATATCTCGTTCTTTTGGCAATAGAGGCGCTGTGGAACAAATTCGAACACGTTATATTATATTTAATAAAAAAACATAGAAGAAGTTAATCTAGTATTGAAAAATTACCAGTTCCTTTCGTTGTAGCACTGATTAAGGAACTTGGATCCCCAGTGCCTACACGATTGTGTGCTGTTAAATGTGCCAAGTAGGAAGAACCGCATTTTAAACCTGATAAAATAAATTCAGTCTGTTCGGGTGATAATGCGATCTCTTCCCAGCCACCTTGGTCCCTTTTATAACTTAATACGTAACCTAGTAAAAATAATATTATATTTTATATTTTATGTTTTTTTTCTAATGTTCTTTTATATTTTTTCTATTGCTTAATTTCTTTTTTCAACATTATCTAATATTTCTAATAATACCTTGAATAGTGGCACCTCCATTATTGGGATGACTCCACTTAAATCTTATACTATTCGTTGTCGTATACTGTAATTCTAAAATTGGCGCTCTAGGAGGCATCACTACAACTAACGTGTAAGTAATGGAATCGTCACCGAATAAATTGCTCGCTGAACATGTATAATTGCCTGCGACTGATTGTTCCAATCCTAAAATTTTTATTCTTCTTATTATCATTATTTGTATATCATCATTAATTTATTCAAAGTCTATGTTAAACTAACCGCGAATATTGAGGTGACCATCTGCAGTCAATTCGTAATGCCTTCCAGTAGAAATCTGGCTATTTCGATACGTCCATATTGGACGAGGCGTAGGATTACCCACAACCAAACAGGATAACGTGATCGACGATTTAATCGCCCTTCTTAATAATTGCGAAAAAGATGCCACTCTAGCTGGAGCTTTATAAGAATTTTATTAAATAAATATAATCTATAGATTAAAATATGTAAGGAAATTATCTTATGAATAATCAAACCTCTAGTATTCGTAGTTTGAGTTACAATAGTGGTCGGTTCTCCTTCACCCAGCCCTGTCGTTGCTGACACCCAAAACTCGTACAATTGACTAACATGTAATTTTGTTTAAAATTTCTTTTTATTATCTGTTAATAAAACTTGTAATAAAATTTTATAAAATCTTAATTACCTTTCAACCAAACCTCGCAATTCCATAGTAAGAGTGTCAGTAGGAGATGATGGTGGTTCATGCATGGTGTGTGTATTATGATTATTGGAACCTGCCTCTCTACTGTAAACCGTATATTTAGAAACGTTCCCATTTGGTTGCAAAGGAGGTAACCACGAAACTAATATACTCTCTGCAGTTAATGCTAAAGCTTTAATACCAGCTGGAGGACCTGGAACTAGAAATCGGACAATCAGATTAATTTAATTGTTCTTAATAATAATGTTTTTATCGATTTTGAAAATTTTATCCAATCAGTGAAAATTAAAGGAAAAAAATTCTTACCGTCCTCTTCTGTAGTACAAAAAATTGGAGGACTCAAAACTCCATCACCAGCACCCGTGTAAGCCAATACTCTTATAGAATAATTCGTATATTTATACAGGGTGTGTAGATACGTTTCTACACTGGAAGTCTTTTTTACTTCACGTACAGTTGATATGTCCACTGGAAATAATTTTTTGACGCAAACAATATGCTATTTTGTTCTTTTTAAAGATAAGTATCCAATACTTGAATTACATACTATTGTCAGTGGGTACAGGTCTGTAATACACTTTGTAACCTTGAATAATTCCACCATGTTGATGAGGTGGAGGAGCGCTCCAAGAAACTTTTACACTTTGCGAAGATAAAGGAACACATGATACTTGTGTCGGTGGAGTTTCTGGCACTGGTAATGAAGAAACGAAATAGATCAATAGAAAAAGTCGATTTTATTAAATTACGATATTAATAAAAAAACAAACTTTTTTGCAAAAGTTTATGTTTACCGCACCTCCTTCCTGAGTTGTTCCAACAATGGGAACGCTAGCTGGGCCACTGGCTATGCTATTGAAAGCTCTGATCGATATATCGTACTTGGTGAACTTTCTCAAGCCGGTGAGTTGCACCTTTGTAGTCGCCCATCCGTTCACAGTCAAACTTTTACTTTGATTCACACCTGACGTCGAAGATGAATGCTCTGACCATGTCACTATGTAGCCCAATAGATCTCCATTACAGGATTCCTTTGGAGGTGGCTATTATGAATGCAATAAATCCTTCTTTTATAATTTGTTAAAATTATATCGAAATTTTTAATATCTTTCCTTAAAACAACATTATCAATTTATAAATCGATAAAACATTGAATATTGATTAAAATTTACCTGCCAGCTAACCATAAGCTCTCCAGGTCCTGCTGATTGTACTTTGATATTTTGAGGTGGTTCAGTGGGTGCTGTTAAATATGAAAATATAAACAATTAAAAAAATTGTTAGATAAAAATAATATTTTTAAAATATTTATTATATTTTTGTACCTTCTTCTTGAGTTTTGGCGACCACAGGATCAGTGGGTACACTCACGTCTATCGAATTTATGGCAAATATACGAAATGTGTAAGTCACTGCTGGATGAAGTCCACCTACTAAAGCTACTTCCTGATCGTCGCTGGTAGTTTCGAAAGGAGATAAACCTAGAAAAATAACAATCGAATCGAATAGAATAACATTTTAAAAATAGAATGGAAATTGTATATTTTTTTTTCGTGATTGGAAATACAATTACCATTTTGTGTCGGATGTATGGTGTTGCCATTGTTCGAATGTCCGGGCGTGTAAGTAACGTTGTGCGTTTTTGCGGGATTCCAGTCATCCGCCAAACCATGATTCAGAGATCGATATTGAATAACGTAATTCCGTATTGGACTGTTTCCATCAAAAGCCCTTCTCCACAATAATCGTATCGACCGTGACCCGATTTCTATGACTTCTAGCGAAGCTGGTGGATCTGGCCTCTCTGAACGCACGAAATCATAATTAATTATTAATGATTATAGAAGAATTATAGAACAGATTCATTCGAATCAAAGCGAATAAAACGAGCGAAACTTATTGATATCACAGATAGATGTGAATTATACGATATAATTGGAAGAAAAGAGTACAATTGTATCAAATATTCAATTTTTTACCTTGGACAGCAAGATAAATCAGATGTTCGCTTCTGCCATAGGCGTTGTCCGCTGTGCACCTGTAAACGCCGGAATCCTGACGATCACTGCTTCCTATGGATAATTGGGATTTGAGACCGTTATCCGTTTTTATCTGACTGATGCTCAACCGATGATTGTTCGTGTCTAAACGATCACTGTTGTGCATCCATTGCACTTCAATAGGATTATCACCGATTACTGTACAATCCAAGGTCACGGATTCGCCACGACGGATAGTGACGTTCTTGCTCTGAAACTCGAATCTTGCCGGTTCTGTAAAAGGAAAGAAAAGAAAAAAATATATAAATAATATTTTTGATAAAAAGAAAAAAATTTTAAAACTCTGAGAAACAACTCACCATGAACGGATACGTAGATCACTTTGCTCAGACCAGATCCAATGCCGTTATTCGCTCGACAAAGATAATGCCCTTCATCTTGGGGCCCAGCTGAAGCTGTCCACAGAGATCCATTTGGGAGAATGGTTAATCTTCCGTCGGTGCCATCGATCAAAGGCTGATAATCGTTCGAGGTCCTTTCCCTGGCACGCAACCACGTGACACGCGGCGGAGGAAATCCTTTCGCCTCGCAGTGGACGTTCAACGGATTTCCCAGGAGGGTAGCCACGTCTTGCGGCTCGAAGATCCATTGTGGAGGCACTTTTACCAAAAGTTCGGCCGTGTGATTCACTTTGGCCGCGCTGTTGGTCGCCACGCAAGTATACTTGCCACTGTGCCGGGAGGAGAGTTCCTTGAAGACGAGCAGGCTGAAGAATTCGGCCACCCTCTCCTCGATCTGCAATGCGAACAATTGCTAGGGGAGTTGGCGATTAATTTAGTGACGTTTGATGCTTTCCTTTTAATTTTTCTTTCTTTTTTTTCTTTACATCTAATATTTCGTAATATTGGATAATTTGAATAATTGACAACAATGAAATTTCTTAGAGATGATGACGTACACGTAAAGAGGAAGGTAACGGCTCGCCATCCTTCAGCCAGGAGAAATAGATTGGGAGATCACCGGAAGTGACGGTGCAAGTGACTTGAGCACGGCTACCTTCTTGGAGGTTCGAGGGGAAGTTGAAGGGGCTCATAACCGGTGGACCTGAAACAAGTGAAATTCTTCGTTAGTATTCTTTACTTCGTTAATTTTTCTTTACTTTGAGTTTGAAAAAATTATTTATCGTTGCCAGCGAAAGATTAATACAGTTACAAATTAATTTAATTTTTGCTATAATTAATTTATTTATTTTGCTATAATATATTTTTACCCCAGATATAAAGAAGCAAATAATTATTGCGGCCAACTTTTATTAGTTCCCGTCCACGCGTATATAGCTTTAGCTTCCTCCTCTAAACGCGATAAATGAGAAAAAGTTGAGAGAAGCAACGCTAGAGGAATTCTTTCGGACGTGCAATTTACTTCTTTCCCCTAGTCTCGCGACTTCTTCGCGGGCGTACCAGCCGACCCAACTGTAAAGAAACGAGAAACAAAAACTCGTTTCTCGTTAAAACGAATGTATATGTATACGTAGTGCAATAGTAGCTACAATTCTAGCCTTTACAAGAGAATACAATCTTACAAGATAAACAATTAACACCAATACTCGTGGTTCGTAATAATATTTCTTACGTTTTAAAATATAATATAATTTTCACCTTAATAAGCTCTTCGAAATAAAATATTTTAACCTCTCCAAAATTAATATATACACAGTTTTCCGAATATTGTATTAAATTAAATATTCCAATATGTTTTATTTATCGTAAATTTAAATTGAAAAGTTATAGTTCAATCTTTTAGAAACTCGTCGAACGCGAAAGAACCATTCCATTTTTATCCACAAATACTCACTGCTGACAGTCAACCGGATGTCTCTGCTCGCCGTTTCGCCGGATCTCGCACGAACCATACAAGTATAAGTGCCGGCGTCGTTTGGATCCACATTGGCGATGGTAAGATGGCCCTCACTGTCAACTCGGTGTCTTATGTCGAGAGGAAGCGCGACTCCTCCACGAGACCACTCGACCGACGTGATAGGATAGCCGGAATAAGGACAAGCTATGGTTGTATCGACACCGGCTATCGCACGAACTGGTCCTATCGATCGGATGTATGGCGGACCTGAAATTATTAATCGACACGAGGTGCCTTCCGATACATTTCGCTATTACCATTCATACGATTATCGATGATTGATATCGTCCGCGGTTTACGTTTCAGCATAAATTAATATTTATTATAAATGATATAATTAAAAATGGTATATGAAAGCTTATCGACGCGTAATATAACAAAAACGAGTAGAATTAAAATATGTAATTATAATCAGATACGATAAATTTCTGCCCGAATGAAAGGTGATTCTAATATTGTTAATAAAAAGGTATAATAGAATTCGCATACACTATATAATAATATTCCAAACAATCTAAAAATAATATTAAAAATGTTACATGTTACATATTCATTGTTAAGGATAAACTATTCAGAAATTTATACACATAATTTATCTCTCATTAATTATTCATTTAATCACCGAATAATTCACGTATCGATCTAAACGTCTCTCGACAATTAAAACCAAGCTCGTATAAAATAATTAAACTTTATCACAAGTATATATGACACATCTATCCCGCCTATTTGAATTAATATTCACGTTACATTACCGATATAACCAATCAAGATTATGATTCGAATTACCATAAATGTTCAATCTAGCTTTGTGCTCAACCGTTGCCAGGGTATTGGCAGCGACACAAGCGTAGAGGCCGCCATCTTCAGCCCCAGCCGACGATATGTTCAAATGACTGATCACGTCTCCCGACTGATCGACGTACTGTCCTATCGCGTACCTGTATCGGGCATTGTGCATTGGTTAAGAAGTGGAATATTGATCGATGATGATCCAGATACGAACCTATGTCCAGAGGCGATCTCGCTCAGAGGCTCTCCGTCCAGGAGCCAAGTAAACGAGGGAGGAGGGGATCCGGTCGCTGAACATCTCAAGGATACTGGAGGACCTGGTCGCAATGCTTGCTCGATGAACGTGTATTGTAACTCTGGTACCGTGTCTGATAGGATAGATCGAAAATCGAGCATCGATTTGAGTAAGCATAGAAAATTTGCAATTTCCTAACTTTTTTACTTTTATGATAATTGGTTTATACGGTTGAAAAAGAAAAACGCTTTCCTTTTACAATAAATTATTTAATTATCTTCTTTTCTTTCGAGACTCTTTTTTTTTATCTTATTACCAGTTTTGATACAATAAATTGCAATGATTGTATTAATTGTTTACCTGTTACCAATAAAGAGAATTATTCAGAGATGTTTGTGGTTATTAAATCACTTGGGAACGAAAGGGAAACACGTATTAATTAACGTTGGAATCGATAAATTCTGCGGAGGAAGGATAAATGTAATAATTATCCCCTTGAATTTTGCATTCGCTTATCGTCCAATAAATGATAATTTATTTTCATAAGTAAAACTTCTTTACTACAAACGTAAATCTAACGAATTATTTCCACTATAATCATAGATCGTTAATCATTTTTCATTACACAATCGACAATTACGAAACAACCAACTTTCTCAAGAAACCGAATTATAGATTCGTAGCGATATACCTCCAAGTTTCAATTCCGCGGTGGCCTGTGCGTTCTCCTTGTCGCTCCTCACCAGACACTGATACATCCCCTTGTCCTTTCGCCCGACCGAGCCTATCACGAGCACCAGAGGAGCCAGCAATCTGATCCTCGTGTCCTGCGCGGTCAATACGGGCACACCGTCGTGCAACCACTCGACGCTCTCGACCGGATAACCCTCCACCGTGCAATTCATAGTGGCCGACTCTCCGGAATTGATGATCTGTAAATACCGGGAAACGGTTAACGATTCGTGCTCGAAAGTTAATGCCCGTGCCACGCAGGGGCAAGCGATCATCCCCCTTTGACGCGACACGATTGTCCATCCGCTTCGATGATCGTTCAACTCGTGCTACATGGTTACGGCTCTCTCTTTTTTTTTTTTCAGTTTGTTTCAAATTTAATCGATACACAACGGTACAGATAGATTTCCCCGCTAAAGCGAAGTTTTAATCTTTGAGAGGAGAGCGTGGAAAAATTGTTTGTCGGAAAGAGAGTTTTTTTTAGAGTATTAAATTTTGAGCGTTGTTAAACGGTTCTAGAATCTGCAAATATTCTGTTATGATATCATCTTGTTATGTTAAAATATAATCAGATAAGATGGAGATAGTTTATAAGGAGTTTAAAGGTAGATGAGTAGTATAGGTCAATCGTTGGAGCAGGAAGTAGAATAAGAATGTCATCGGTTAGACAAGAGTCGATCAAATAAAAAGTGATACGCTAAATATTATATCGAATTGAAAATTTATAGTTGAAATATAATTTTTCAAATTACATCTGATAAATAATTGGTTTCATTGTTCGATGGGCTAAGACGGATCCTAATAGATTGTCTAAATGATAAAAATTGAGCAAGCAACAACTCGGTTTGTACACAGTTTGGCCATCGAGATACCGTAATACCGTATCTTTGAGCGGAAAGGAGAATATGCGATCTGATATCTTGCTAGGAATTCGAACCCCGTTTGATCTTTATGATAATTCCAGGATTCTGTGTGTAGTGGCCGTAAAAGTTAACAGTAACGGCTTCGATATCATGGCTGCCATTTATGATAAATACTTCACTATTGTGGAGCACGAGGGTCTATTGTAATTGGATTTTATGGCTCAGAAATGACCACGATTGAATTTTCTAGCTTCCAGAGATTTTGCATAATCGATGGCTTTCGAACGAGTGTCAACGAGCTTTATAATTTGCGAAGACCGTAGGAATAATTGTCATAATTATATCTCACGTTTGTTTGTCTTTTTTATATTTTAGTCATAAATATATCAAATAATAATAACTAATAGATATAAAAAAATCTAATTTATAATACGATATATTTTATAAAAAAGAAATATCGAATTAAAAAATCAAACATTTAAGATTAATTCGATAAATGTATATACAAGAGTTATAAAATTAAATATAGAATGAAAAATATAAATTAGAAGAATACCAGATACGAGTTATATATAATTCAAACTCCTACCTGAACACGAGGTTGTATACGCGCGTTAAGTTTTGACGTGACCGACAGGTGTGTTTCCGCTCGTTGCTCGCCGATCTGATTGCTGGCTCGACAAATGTACCTTCCTGCGTCCTGAGCATCCACGCGGCGAATTTGCATCAAATCACCCCACAGTTGAATTCGGCCAAATGACTCCACCGGTATCGAATGGCCTTCAACAACGAGACACTCGTTTACTTTATGCCCGACTATACTACTCCACTTGCTAACGCGGGTATCGCGCATTTTCGTCATCACTTTCACGCGTGTTTAAAGATTATGCAAAGGAAATGAGATTATTAACGCGAATTCGCTTATTCGTGAAATTTAACGCTACGACAGGAATGAACGTATAAATAATGATAATAACGTATAGAAACATTTATATTGTGGAGAATTGACGAATAAAACGTCCGGTTGATTACATTTGTTGAAAATGAATAATCACGAAAGCGATCACATCGCGTTGAATTATATAGCGTTACGGTACATTTAGATTACTCGGTAAACAATCCCCTAATTAAACCAACCGTTAACATCGCGATACCAAGCAAATTGCGGGGCTGGGTTCCCCTGGGCTGAGCAAGTTAGATGAACGTCCGACCCGCTTTCCGCTGAGATGGCGATCTGAGATCTCTGCATCAATCGTGGCGGCATAGTTCCCGTTGGCTCTAAAAATCGAAATAGATCTTAATAAATATCATCATCGATAAGTTTCGATTTTAATTTACACTTTGGATTATTTATTAAATTTATCTTCTTTCCTTTTTTTAAGAATCGATGAGGATCATCGAATTTGTTTTAATATTTTTTTAATTACAAACGCAAGGAGATAAATGTTACTTCATTACGCGCCTGTGACTGTTAACGTGGCAGGCTCGCTCCTCCTCCTTTCACCGGTCAACGCGTGAAAAGTTAAGCACGAGTAGGTGGCTCTGCCGTCGTCGGGTCTGGTGGCTCTGATGTGCAGATCCCCCTGAGACGTGACCACGAATCTTCCACCTGTGATAAAATTAAATTTTCAACGAGAAAGAAAACTTTTGATTCATTTGAATGCATATTAAGAGCTTAGATAGTATTAATTTTAATTCATCGTGATTAAAGTTTATTTTTTAATAACACTCCACTCTACTCGTTCGAGACACCATTTCACCGAGTATTAAATATTTTAATTACACAACACGCCGGTTATTTATGGCATTTATGGAGTATTTATGAACCCACGATATCCCACAATTTTTACCTAGATTACGCTCTGTTAATTTTCTTCTCGCGTGCTCCGTTCAGAAGTTGGGCCGAGTAAATATTTTAATTACAATCCCACCATCGTGATTTATGGCATTTATGAACGAGGCTGGCGAATAACATCGTCAAAATAACGCAATACGTCACCAGATGACGTTAATCTCCAGTATTTGACGCAGGGCTGGCTGCGCTCACGCCACGTTTCGAATAATCCCTTTGAAATAGCTTTACAAGCTGTACAACCCGATATATGTTGCACATCGTATCGTTTAATTCGTTGTTCGATTTCACGCGTTTTTGCCCGCGTGAAATATCATTTTTCAGCGTTCCGCTCTCGTCCTCGTTTCCCTTCGCCTTTTTATTTAAACTTGCATGCAATAACCGCGCGCGCGCACCGAAAATATCATCATATATTACGGGGTTGTACATTAAAAACGATGAGAAACAAAATATTCTTTCGTCTCGCGAAATTATTTACTGAGCGCGTATGATATATTTATATGTGTGTGTGTGTGTACGTGAATACACCGAGATGAAATAGAAGAAATGGAGGTATTTCAGATTTTAGAGCTAATTTATGACAGAAATTATTTTTTCATTTTTAATTTATCGCCCGTAATAAAATCAGTTTTGCATTCTTCTGATCTTGCAGTTAATTTGTGGATGAAAATTATGGATTTGATTTAATTTCTAAGGTATTGCGAATGCTAAGAGAATATAAATTTTAATGTTCGTAACGTTGTATTTTTCCGAACGAGAGAGAAAAGTTTTGAAATTGATCCTGACTCTGATGAATTTTCTGAAAATTCTTTAAAAAAATGGAGTTTTAAAAGTGGGGTCGAATTCAGAAGTGGCGCACACCGATATTGTAACGCGCACGTTACGCGTGTATTAATAAAATACAAAATTTTGTACAAATGATTTATTTAAAACGAAATTTAACTTGAAATTTTGATTCTCGTTAATGCTCGTTGTGAATTTTTGATGAGCAATAAATTGTAAGCGGAGAGCGCTTTCGACGATTTATTAGTTAACAGATATGAATGTGAAATAATTATATAATGAAGCAGTAAATGATAAATTACTCTTTGAAATATACGATATCAACAGTATTATCTCACAATTTTCGCATGATCTTGGTAATACATATTGTTGTTCTAACATTAACGACACTAGTTTTCCACCACAAATTCTCAAATTAAATTTCAATTTATTCTTGGATATATCTTAGATACAATTAATATCTACGACGATCTGAAGTTTATTTCATTTCATCGTTAAATAACAATCAAACAACGTTGTTCAAAATATCACACGATAATTTGACACAACGAGAACTAAATTAATTTTATCATCTTGCATGTATGATGGAGATATCGATCGGGATTTCTGTTCGAGCACGACCGCCTCCGGTGGAAAGCGGCTTTAGACTTAGCCAGGAAGCAGTCGGCTCGATCGAAAACAAAAGCTGGTTACACGCGGATTTCACGGAACCGAGGAAATAACGCGATACCTTCGATATTTTCGTCTCGATTCCGCGCGAGAGGTTATGCAAAATCCTCGGCATCTGTCGATGAAAATCCGGACGCACGTCAGGCGTGAAATTTTCAATTTGGTTCGAACGGTCGATTCGCTGGACCTTCCTTCCGTTTCTTTTCTTCCCCTTCCGGCCGAGCTTTCGTCGTTATAAACAGTCGGCCATTTTAAAGCCTTGATTTCGATTCAAAGTAAAACGATACATTTCTTACAAACGATGATTGTTTCTTCCCTATAGATTGAAATGTGATAATTTTTGAAACTCGTGAAATTATAAGTTACAAAGTCAAACGTGAAATATCCTTTAATTAGATATCAATCGTTAAACGAGAAGTGGTGTTAGATAAGTAGTAGTACAGGTCAGCCATTTTCGTAGCACAAGTGATACGAGTCAGTCGTTAAAAAAAAAAAGATATTCGATCAGACAAATAAGGCGTAGAAATAAAAAGATGATAAGAATATTAAAATAATCCGATCGAAAACGCCCGAATTAAAATTAGGATTAATTTTAATATGCGCGATTATCTTATCTCGTTGAAAATTTTTCCGCGAGAAAATCGTTGGAGGAGAATCGCGAGGATCGTTCCTCCTCCAAACGTTAATCCTCTTTTCACTCCTGGCGAAAGGAGGAGTTTCGGAGGAGAGAAAAGTGCTGAGTGTGTCCCCGCTGTTTCACCGGTGTGTCTGGGGCAAAACGATGTGACAGCAGGGGGGTTGCTCGGGGGTGTTGGCCTCCTTCGAGAAAATGAAAATGCGCCCACCAGACGCGGCCAAGTCGACAAAGCTGGTCGACAGACGTTTGACGGCGAGCAGTCGCCGCCGGTGTGACTCGAAGAAAAACTTCAAAAAGAATCGATAGACCCTTCCTCCCCTTCGCTTCCTGCGAGCCTCGAAGACGTGTCAGACCTTCTGATACTCGGGATAATGGAAGCCTTCGTCGGAATGAAAGCGTTTTTCTTTTTTTTTTCGAGTTCGTTTGTTCGGATGTATACGATACTTGCCTAAGCGCCTTTCCTCGACAGATGGATAATTTGGACTCTGCTTTGTAAGTTTTATACGTTTGACTTATTGCTTCTTCTTGCGGCAAAATGGAATTTTGTATATATATATATTTTTTTCAATGCTGCGCCAAAAATCGAGGAGATGGATATTAATCCCTTGCGCTCGAGTCTCTGCAATCTCAGATGCACAATGATGGTTCGAGTGGATAGATAACTAATTGGACAAAATTGGTTTTTTCTTTGATTTTGAGCTTATATGAAGATTTAATTTTTGGAAAACAGAAATATTGGTATTTATTATAATTTATTGTTTCATTGAAAATGTATATAACGTAAAAAGAAAAAAAAAAAGGAAAATACAATATACGAATATATAGAAAAATAAATATAATATAATGTAACTTGCCGCGACGTTTCAGTTATTCATGCTAGATTTCGTTATCACCGATTAATAAGAGAGCGAAGTATTAATTTGCAAATAGGTTCATCTCTTTCTTTTCCTTGTATCAAGAAACGTATATAAAAATCATTTTACACACGCGCAAAATCATTTCGAGTCGCCATTTTCTTCGGCCGATAGAATGAAAAATGCAAGCTAGAATAATTAACGATGCAATAATACTCGTCGTGCCGAATTAGCCTTACACATATAAAACACACCGTATGTTCAATGGTATCGAGAAATTGGAATACGATCAAGTCTCTCCGCCGAATTCTCAGAAGTCATTCCATCTGAACGAGGAAGAAGAAGAAGAAAAAAAAAAGAAAAGAAGGACAGGGATACAGCCCGATAAAGCTCGAATCGACGTAACCATGGGTCCACATTTCCTTCGACATCCACGTATCCAAGCCGATGCCTCGTTTCACACACACACAGGCGTACACGCGACATATCCCAACGAATGTAGCCGTGCTTCCGGTTCGTATTACGTCGAGCTCCGGGTTACGAGCTATTTATCTCCGTATTTTTATTCCGTCGGGGAAAGGCGATATTAAATTGCTCCTTTCGCGGCCGTTTCGCCCCCTCCCCGAACAAACTTGGCCCTCGTCGTGACTGACTAGCAAGCAGCAACCTTATTTTCCTATTTCTTTCGCCTCACTGTATATGTTTTTTCGTGGCTACATTCGTTTGGCGTAAGAAAAATTACGCAGGAATGGAGAGATACCCTGTGTTTTGGGAAACAAGGATTCGTTGGATCCCTTGTTCGTTCGTGGATGTGGAAATTGGTTTTGAAGATGGTGATACTTATTAGTAGCTGTTATATTTGATCCGTTTCTCTCCCTTTTTATCCCAAATTCAAGATTTTATGTATTCGTGGCTACATTCGTTTGGCGTAAGAAAAATTACGCAGGAATGGAGAGATTTCCCTGTGTTTTGGGAAACAAGGATTCGTTGTTCGTTCGTGGATGTGGAAATTGGTTTTGAAAGATGGTGATACTTATTAAAATGATCGAATAACAAGTTTATTCGTAGCTGTTATATTTGATCCGTTTCTCTCCCTTTTTATCCCAAATTCAAGATTTTATTACGTAAATCGGATACAAGATTACCACCGGATTGTTTCAGTCGCATAGATACCGCTCGTTTGGCGTACTTATTTGCACAGCTGATATCTTTGGCGTTGTTTATCATTGCGTTTTTAACGATAAATTATTGAGATTATCGAAGCTACTTTATTCGCAACTTCTAAATTAAAATTTGCCCGTCAAACCGGTTGCATCGTTCGATTCGCTGACCGATATTCCTATGAATTTATTAATACAGAAATAATCTCAAGCACGTCTCGTAATTTCGTAAGTTAAATCCAATCTTCTCGCGTCGTGCTCTCGGAGATCGATATCCCAAACTAAGTAAATCCGGCTACATCTGCTCGATTCTTAATTTTTCGTTCATCAATACAATATCCATTCAATCCAATAATAATCGCAAGATACTCGAAATGTATCTTAAAAATAATAATCTCGAGCAATTATTGAATTACGATCGAAAAACCGTACACACCGTTCGATCTTATTAAAAATTTCCACGTTTCTCCTTTTCAGGAAAGCCTAAAAAATCTTCGAGCAACTCGTCTTCCGACTCGAATTTCCATCCATTCCAATAATCCAGTCGCAAGATACTCGAAATGTATCTTAAAAATAATAATCTCGAGCAATTATTGAATTACGAATTATCGAAAAACCGTTATTATATATACCGTTATTAAAAATTTCGTAACG